ATTAAATAGAATAAAATATTTTTCTCAAATATAATATACATTATCCGGAAAGATCGAATTTATATCGTCTCGAATAATAATATTCTGCTCGATGAGAAACCGGGTTCGCGGGTCGAAAGTCACAGTCGAAGCCGTCCGTTTCACGCGAGTTAAACTCTTTTTTCGTCGTGTCGGTCATCCGTTTCGAAATAAACGGTTCACGGTGGATGCGGTCGACGCGTTCGGTTCACGTTTTTTCCCCATTCGTCGAATACGATTCGCGCCGAGAACGTTTCGAACGCTTCGGCGTCTCTTTGGAAAATACGGCCAAGACTCTCCGAACCCGGCGTTGCGTTTGCACGAAACAGCACCCGCTCCGAGCGCGTTCTCCGCGCGCGCGCAATTCTCGTCCGACGCGGGCGGCGGCGTTTTTCTATCCGCCCGTTAATATAGTAACCAAGTACAGCTTATATCCTACGAGCCGTCTCGAGCGAACAGGAAGTCGGGCCCAACTCTTCGAGGACCGACACGATGCGACCCCGCGACCCACCGTCGGCGTCGATATCCTCTCGACCAATCGATATCTCATCTCTTCTTCTTCTTCTTCTTTTTTTTTATTTCTTTTTAAATTAGTTATCCCCGACTATATCGCGTCGTTTCGTAATTCTTTCTTATTCAACGTTTAAACATTTAAAAAATATCTCGTGTCGATGCGCGGTGTCCCCGGCGGGCCGTCGCGCGAGATCGCAAACCCGGAAGAGTTAAGAGCGCCACTAAAGAAAAAACAATATGGCAACCTGCGTTCCCAGGGTTCGCTCGAGACGCCCATTCAGTGCAGTCGGTGTGTGTTCTATTCACTTTTCAATAAATGTATATATACATACACGCACGCGTACGCATACTACAGGCCGCCCGATTTCAATCTGTACGCGAGGATAACTTCGTCGATCGCGCGCCACGTGGAAATTGTTTCCCCGCAGAAATTAACGGTTAAAAATTATTGATTAATAAATTAACGATTCGACAAGGGGGCGGCTACAAGCTAACCATTAATTCGTTTCTCTGCAAGCGGACGCGCACGGGACGAACAATGATCGATCTTGTTCACTCGAACGCTCTTCGGTTCGGTCCATCGTTTCGAACGAAAAAGATATCAGATCTCAAAATGTCGAAAAATGATCAATTTACGAGGCAAATATTGCTAGCGCAAATATTGCTAGCGGATATTGCTAGCGCAAATATTGCTAGCGGATATTGCTAGCGCAAATATTGCTAGCGCAAAAATTGCTAGCGCAAATATTGCTAGCGCAAATATTGCTAGCGCAAATATTGCTAGCGGATATTGCTAGCGCAAAAATTGCTAGCGCAAATATCGCTAGCGCAAAAATTGCTAGCGCAAATATTGCTAGCGCAAATATTGCTAGCGCAAATATTGCTAGCGGATATTGCTAGCGCAAAAATTGCTAGCGCAAATATTGCTAGCGGATATTGCTAGCGCAAAAATTGCTAGCGCAAATATCGCTAGCGCAAAAATTGCTAGCGCAAATATTGCTAGCGCAAATATTGCTAGCGGATATTGCTAGCGCAAATATCGCAAACCGAGTTATTCCCATTCGTAGATTCAAATCGAGCACCCTGCGTTTATATATACATATACATACAAATATACATATATGTATATACGCGTATATTGTTTTTTCGTTTGTTCATAATTACGCTTAGAATACAAGGTCCATTTTCGCACGTACAACCATTCACGCAGTCTTTCTTTTTCTCAATCGACTACCTAGTTCTTCTCCCTATATCGCGCTTCTCGCGGTATACTCGTCTTATCTCGATCCGAAAATCGTCGTCCGCCTCGCTATCACCGAATCGAGGGGGAATCGCGCGCGCGACACCGGGACATACCTCCGGTGTCGTCGTCCAGTTTCCCGCACATATACCCTTACGCCTGCTAATTTTTCGCGTCGTTCCAACAGTCCCGACGGCTCCCGTTTTAATACTTTAAGACGACCGGAATAAGCTATCCTCTCTCGTTGGAAGTCATTGGCTCGCTCGAAACAAAGGGATGCAAATAAATATACGATATCTACAAAACGGACGCGACGACGGCCGAGCAACGATCGAAAGCGCGCTCGGAACGAACGGATTTCGTTCTCGGGAAAGGAGAATTATCGACGCGCGAAACAGAAATCCAATCTAAAAAAGCTGTGCCTCGCGTTGCCTCGCGTTTAGAACGGAAGAGAAAAGCTCCAGCGTTCTCTCGATCAGCGATCCGATTCTTACACGGAAAACAATTTGCTTGCAGCAACGAATCGAAACGCCCGTTTAAATAAAAGCCACCACCGTTTCTTCGAGAATCGGTTTTACTGCTCTGCTGCTAGTCCCTGCGAAATAGTTTCCCGACAATTCTTTCGTATCCGCTTGTCGAGACGCGCGGATTCCGGCTATCTCTCCTTCCTGCCACGTTCCACCGCATCGAGACGATCTCGCTAATTCGCAACGATTTCAACAAATTGCATCGCGACTCGTTCCGCGAATCCGCCGTTTCCGGCAGCCCACGGAACGTTTTATGGTTCTACGTTGGCCGGCAGATCGATGCCAAAACGGAATAATTTTCATTTCGATCTCCGCGCTCGTTTCTCTGCGCGACGTCCTCCAACGTTTTCGAAAAGATCTTTAGAATCGTTTGCCAGCGCGTTCTCGCGGCAAACCACCCTATACGATCATCTCCTCGATCATCTCGCGAAACCTCTAAATGCCGTTAAAAACTTTGAAATTACAAACACCGTGTTATAAAAATCGCACGTTAGAAATTTGAACCGGACTCGAAATACGCTCGGAACGAAATCGAAATCTGAATCGTGTCTTATTGAAGTTTCTCTTATTTAGCTTAATTTAATGTGATTCGATCGTCTTATTGTTTTCTTCTCTTCTTTTATATACATATATATGAGCCGTTTATTTTGAAAGTGGCATAAGTCACTTTGTTTTCAAGTCGATATATTTAACGGTTTGCGTTTTAACACGTTTCAAAATATGAATGCTAACCTTCGAGAAGATTTACTTGCGTTTGTTATCTCAGGATACTGATATCTTTCTCAGTATAAATAATTTCGTATAAACATTACAAAATCACCACTTTTCATTACGGTAAAGTGACTTATGCCACCTTCAAAATAAACGGCTCATATATCGGTTAGAATCTGTCGGTGATATTTGTAAAATTTGATCGGACCGGAGAGAGGGAAACGTGAAAGTATACAGGCTGTCCCAAAAATGTCTCGCAATCCGAAAGTAGGGGATTCCTGAGGTGATTTGAAGCAACTTTTTCCTTAGCGAAAATGCAATCCGCGGCTTCGTTTACGAGTTATTAACGAAAAACAGTGACCAATCGTAGGCGAGATCATTTGGCGCGAGACGGCCGAGCCAATGAGCGGAACTGGTGCTCCGTGCACTCGTTGGCTGGGCCGCCGCGCGCCAGCCGAGCTCGCCTCTTATTGGTCACTGCTTTTCGTTGATAACTCGTAGACGAAACCTCGGAGAAAATTTTCGCAAAGGAAAAAGTTGCTTCAAATGACCTGAGGAACCTCCCATTTCCGGATCGCGAGACATTTTCGGGACACAGAAAGTCTGTATTACAGACCGGTTTAAAGTGAAAACCGTACTCGTGATCGGTTGAGCCGAAACGATCCCGTTATCGCTTCACCACCGATTTCGATTTCTTCTCGAGACGATCGAAACGACAGTCTTCGAAAGATACGCGCGAACACCGGCGTTTTTTCACTGTTACAAAAATTCTTCTAGCGCTTTTGATTCCGTCCATTTGAAACGCGACGCGTGTCTCGCCCGGCGAGCGCGATCGAATATCCACTTCGTTATTAAATTATTATCTTTACGTCTACAGTGGTTGTGGCATTGAATGCCCGGTAAATTCGACGATAACGATTGACCGGATCGTGGACACGCGGTAATTAAGTGTTCCGCGCGCGCGCCGCGATTCTCTCTTTACTTCCGCGAAAAGATTTTCGTCCGGTCAGAAGAATCGATCAACGTTCTCGGCACGCGAGATCGTAAAATGCATGTTATAAAAAAAATCGAAAAACTTAAAAGTCCACTGTTCTCGGTATGACCTTTTTTTTATTGTGAATAGTATGTTGCTTCATTGTAAATAATCATAAGGCTGAGATTTAATATAGAAATCTTAACAACGATAACGACGATATCGGTGTGTCCATCCATCAACGAAAACGCTTACGGATAACTAAAAAATACACAAGGGTGGGGGGGGGGGGAGAGCGGGGTGACAAATAGTACGGGCACGCTTGCAAGAAAGATCTCACGGCCGAAAGAAACGAGAATAACGATCGACGAAACATCGAACGTCGAACGAAGAAATAATAATACTTGTTCCTCGAGGAGAATAAATCCTGTCGTCTCTTCCTTTCGTTTAACGATCGGACGCGGCTTGAAATAAAAAAAATCTTTCGGTGTCGTGCGTTTGTTGCAAGGGTGCAAGGGCAATTCGATCTTGGTCGAACGAACCGGTGTTTACAAAAGAAAAAAAAAAAAGAAAAAGAAAAAGAAAAAGAAAAAACTCGCCGACGAACGAACAGACGAACTAACGAACGAACGAACGGACGAGCGAACGTAAAAAAATATGCAGCTACTGTCGGAGCGAACAATAAATAATTCGGTTATACTCTACGCTTAACAACTAATATATACCGTGTGTCTTGGTAGTCTCGTGCTCGCCGAAACATTCCGAAAATGATCTCCTCTCGGTCGCCGATATATACTCGATTCGCGGGCGAAACGAAGGTTTCGCAAATTATCGCGCGAACGATTTCCAACCCCACGCGCGCGCGCGCGCGCCTTTCGAAAGATTCGTAGCCGAGAAGTAGGTCAGTTAAAGAAGACCGAAAAGGCGGAAAGAAACAGAGGATCATCATGCATACGTACACGCCACATGCACACACGTCGTATTCGTCCATCGATAATACTGTTACAATGTCCCCTTCGCGAAACCTTGCGATTTTTCGATTTGCTACACCTTCGCGCCTGCCTGCGATTCCTGGCCGATCGAACGGCGCACGATCTCATTTTGTTTGTAACGCAGTTTTGTACCAAGCTTTCTGGTCTGTACTTCGTTTTTCTCGCGAAAGCAGACCACCGCGATCGCTCCGCCCTGTCCACGTGACCTTCCCCTCCTATCTCCGGTTCGTCCCGAATGAAATAAACCATACAGTGCTAGTAAATGCTAGTCGAGGACCATACACGCTAGTCGAAAAAACCCAACGAACCTTTGGAACGACCTTTGTCTTTTTCGTTCCACCGTGCGCAGAGACGTCCGCGCCCACGTTTGAGAGATCAGACTCGGACAGAATTCGCGTTTCCTGTCGGATCTCGCGCTGGATAAATTCGACCAAGCAAGGATGGAGAAGGATCGACCGTACCACGACGCGAATAATATTTCCGAACGAATAATGCCCAGAGCTCTTCTCGATAAACTGGTTCCGTTGCTCGCGCGCGATCATCTATCCGGACAATTCCAAAAAAAAAACAAAAAACAGAGTCTGCGTTCGTAAGAAGAGGAGAAAGAACTGTATTTTTCTACCCGGGACAAGTTATACTTCACGGAGTAGAACGTGTCTCGATCGATCTACAAATTACAGTTATACACGCACGCGGGCACACAATCGCACAATCAGAAGATCCGTCTATAAACTATCGCGCCCATCTCGTAAACGCTACTTCAGTTCTGTTCGGGGAAAAACGACGAAATTTTCCCGGAACCAGCTCGCTAGAAATTTAATCAATCGTTCGACTATTTTCGTGATTCCCTAACTTCCACTTTTGCTACGTGCCTATCATTCGTCCGGGGTTGTGGCTCTATCATTCGTCCGACCATGCATGCTCCCGTGATCGTCTTCACGAACTCTTACGAACTTATTCTATACACAGTGTTTTTTATTCTTCCACCTCCTGTCGGCCCGTGGCGACCGAAAGCAGAGCGCCATAGAAAAATAGACCGCTCTCTCGATCCTTAAAGCTCAGGGAAATATTCTCGTGTCCTCGCAAACTGTAGGGCACTCGCTTCTTCTTCGTCATCATCGTCTTCGTCTTCTTCTTCTTCTATTTCTTCTTCTTCTTCTTATCTTCTTTCGTCGCGTACCTTTCATTTGAATTGCATGTTCGCGTCGAATGATCGAGGAGCGTAGCTTTCAGTCGCCATTTGCCTTGAAAAGAGTACAAATCGACTTAGTCTTAATAGTAAACTTGTTTAATTAATTAATTAGTTGCTCGCTATCCGCACAGCCACGCTCGCCTAAAGGTTAAAAGGATTCTTCTTTGTCTTCGTCGCTTCTTCCGATTCCTTTTCCTGTTGTCGGAGACGATGTGCGGGATAGATTTAATATTCTATTAGACGCTTTCCACGGGGGATAACATTGAAAAAACAAACAAACAAACAAACAAAAACGATATAAATAAACTGCGGAATTTCACGCGAATTCCCGTCGTCCTCTCGGATTTACATTTCATGGGAATCCGAACGTCGGAAGTATTTCATTCCGTCGACGAGGAGGAGATTTTTCCCTTAGCGGTGACGATAAAGTGAAAATACTATGAACTTTTTCTCGCTACGCGCCGTAAATGCACAAAGATCCGCAGTCTAGATATATAAACTTTGTTTCGTCTTCTTCTTCTTTCCAAACGAGACTTAGCCATGGATACACTTGAACATTTCGTTCCCTATTTTATACTAAAATTTTTTCCATACCGATAAACCGTCAGAGCGTTCTCTCTCTCTCTCTCTCTCTCTCTCAATCTCTCAATCTCAATCTCTCTAATACCCTATTACGATGCGATGGAACATACAACCCTCCGCAACTAGATATTTTTGTCCCATTCTCGAGAAAAGTGTGGTCGATAAAAAAGAAAAGTTGTATTAGCGAGTCGCTGGTACCGACGCGAGAACGTTTTGCGGAGGGTTTGAAAAGTAAACAAATGTTAGATCTACCCTACACTTCGTCCGTGTTTCACGCAATAAAAATACGAACACGTACAGGACACGTACATGCACGCATACAACACGCTTGTACACACGCATCCGCTCAGTCATTCTTGATCAGCGTTTCTCGTTTTAGCAACTATCCGTGATTCCGCGCATGAACCGTAATAGTTTCTTTCGTTCTCTCCCTTAACGGAAATTGTAAAGAATTTATAGGAGCCATTGTTTCGCATATATAGTTCTATGTATGTATATATATATATATATAATTTATATATAGTCAACGATAAAAAAGAAACTCGTCTCGATCGAGCGTCGTTATCACGGTGACAAGTCAACGGTCTACCTCGCGGTTTTCCTATTTCACGGGGAAACCCGTGTTCCCGCCATTTCACGCTAAACACGCGAATATTATTATTCTCGTCCCCGAAATAGCGAATTTCAGAGTTCAAGTTTCTTCTTTCCGATCGAGTATCGCGATTCGCGATTCGCGGTGTATAGAACCTTCATCATCGCGAAACACCATACGAAAACCATTTTCTCGTTGTTTCTCTATTCATCTCCCTTCTTCTTCTTCTTCTTCTTTTTTTTTAACTATTTTATGCTTTTTTCTTTTGTTCTCTCGAGACGCATCCGCACGTGGTAACGAGAAAAAGAAAGAAAGAAAGGAAGAAAGAAGACGCGAAGGCGAAGCGAGAAATAATTTCGCTCTTGTTCCGACGAGGTTTTCGAATTTCGAAAAAAAAAGAAAGAAAATGTCACGGTTACCACGTCCGAAAGGATCGACGATCATGCGTTTTCGTTCAAAATCTACAGGGCGATTCTAAATTATCGTCGTAACATTCTAAAACGGGGACCACCCGCAGAAGAACCGTCGGATTTCGAAACGAAACACATCGCGCAAACGTCAACCAAACCCGCGTTTTCGCGTTCTGAACTCCGATTTTAGGACGTTCTGAACCGCGAATCGGGAGCACAGAACGCAAATACGAATTCATCGACATTATAATTCAGAATCTACCCGCGAGCATTCTCGTATACGTTACACGCGCTGATCCACAAGTATCCATGGAAGCGCTTGAATTAGTCAATCGATTTCTTGCCATCGGATCCTCCTGCGTTTTAACAATCTCCAACGTTCCGATAGGAACTGGCGTCAAGCACGGGCAACGTTCGCGAATCTCGACGACGACGCGTTAATTATAAATTAGCCGAATACAATCTGTGTAACAGGACTTAACGCGTCGACGTCGATTCGCGAAGTCCGTGCGTGTAACACCGCTTTAATCTGCGCACGATGATCGTTGTCAACAGTTGGATCGGTACACGCGAAATATATCGTCTTCGCTGGCTCGAATTCCCTGTTGCAACGAAACGCAAACTGATACACGCGTACGCTCGCGACGAGAAACATCTCGCGCGCAACGATGCAACGATGCAACCGCTAAAAGGTCAACCGGTAATTCGACAAAATAGCTTTCACTTCGTTCATCGGCGATCATCGGATTCAATGACCGGCGCGTCGGAAAATAATTGACAGCATTTTCTCGATACCGAAATGATACGATCGCGTGGCAAGAAACGCATCGACGGAACACGGAGAAGAGAGGAAAAAAGAAGAAGTCGCGTAGACGCAAGGGTTGAATCGGAGCAAAGAAAACGTACAGGAGGATCGTTCCGGAGATTCGAATACGAAACAGAAATCGTCGAGGCGTAGAAACGAGCGATAACGAACGGGAAATCGGGGGGTTGGTGCGGACGTGGGCGGGGACGGGGTGCGTGAGGGATGTTTTAGAGATGTACAGGTGGGTGCGATGAGGATTAGAACGATCGAAGAAACTCGCGTCTCGTCTCGTTAGGCCCTTGTGCGCCCTCGCGCGGACATCGAGATGCCGTAACCCCGCTCCGTTCGGAGCGGCCGAACCGAAAAATTGCATCGATTACACGCTATCATCCGTAGGTTTCGCTGGATCGGCGATCCCGTTTTCGTAGCTGTCGCGGGATCGAGTCGTTCTCGATCGATAAAACGGGTCGAAACGGTGAATTGGAAAATCGTTGGAAAATCGTAGAAAAATTATGAACGATCGGTAGAAAAAGTTTGCCTGCCGCGCGCGCGCGAGGAAGGTCCGCGGTTCGGTCGCGAAAACGGGATCGATTATTTCGCGGATTACATTTCTTTTTTTTCTTTTTTTTTCGTCGATTATCCTTTTTTCGCAAGCTTTGTCCGTCCCTTCGGCATCGCAACGCTCGTCTTCTTTTCGATATTTTCGTTTCATCATTTTTTAGGTAGAACGTCGCTAAATAGGATTATATACACACAGTACAATTACGGATTAGCGTTTTTTCACATTTATCATACCAGATAGACAATAGAGTAATAACCTTGCTTGTAGTTCGCTCGTGTACTCGTCTATTCCCTACGTAATCTAACCGCTAAACGTTTAACTAAAAGTCTGCTTAATCGATACGCCTGCCCGTCTGTTTGTCAGCTTGTCCGCTTTTCTTTACCAAATTGTCGTCTTCGCGTCTCTGCAGTGTTTTGCCGACTCCGCGCGCGGCCAATCCTTCGCGCAAGTGCTCACCGATATTAACCGGTAAAATCGTCGACGTCTCGAGGGTGACCGCTTCGGGGAAGCTACCGCTGATACGCGACCGATAATTGTCCAGATAATTGTGGTCGACGCGATGGAAATTGCGTGGGCGGAGCCAAAGGAGTTATTCTCTCTGCGAGAAACGGGACCAGCAACAGCCGCGGATTTGGCTCCGTACTGGTCGGAAAGCTCGCGACGCGTCGGTGCGGCGTCGGTGTTCGATGATGAGAGATTTCCGCGAGAAAGCTGTGATCGTTTATGGCACGAGAGCCTGCAAATTCGCCGAGGCCGAAAGATAGGCCTGGTTCTTGAATGTTGACGCCGCGGAGAGTAGCTTTATATTGCGATAGCGTGGTACCCGGATGGGTGTAGGGAACGTTCCGGTGTCTTGCCGCTTTCAAACTAATCCTAGATCATTTTTTGGGAGTCGACGAAGTCGACGAGAAAATGGAAGCGCTCACGGGTGAACCAATTGGTTGGTTGCGGCTACCTAAAATTGACAATTGCTACCGGCGCGCGCGCTCCATCGTGGATCGTTACACGCGAACCAAATGCGCACTTGCGAAAAGGAAAGATTTTGCACCGCGAATCGGCACTGTTACAGACCCGCTGGTCTGCCGGATCCTTCGAGTTACGTTGAAATTACCGCGAACGCTTTCAAGCGTACAAGCTTCGTTCAAACATTTCGCGCGTTTATAACGGTGCTGGAACGATCGACCGGGATCGCAGAGAGGCAAATTTTCGTGATCGATATCGCTGAGCAGCGTTCGCTGCGTTCGCGTTTCGTCGGAAACAAAGTGAACACTTAAAAACCTAAATAATACTTTGCTCAGAAGCACCGAAAGTCGTCGCGAAAGTCGTCGCGCTGGAGGCGACCAAAATTAGGATCCCCGAGTCGTTCTTGCACCGTATAAAAAATCACACCGAAGTTTTGTACATGCGCCACGAGTTTTGTACATCCGCGAACGAAGAGTACTCTGAGAAGCTGTTTCCAGCGATTTCAAGGTAACTCGGTGTTAACGCCGGGTGTTCGCGATCGGTCGTTCGTGTCGTCCGGTGAATGAGAAAGCGAACGGAAAATGAAAACAAACGAGTTACGATTCGAGTGACGCGATAGAGAGAAAGAGAGAAAAAGAGAAATAGAGTGATCGAAACGGATGGGAGAGCTCGTCCCCCGAAACCATTCACGGGATGGTTCACCGGCCGCGATCGGTTTCGAGAATCTTCTTCGATTCGATCGTTCTTCCCCTCGAAAGGCACGAAAAAATCCTGGACTCCACGCTCTTCGCTTTCCTTAATCTTAACACGCTCGTACCGCGGCTCTTTACGCGAATGTAGATTTTTGTGTGTGCCGACTCGAGAGAACAAGTTCGTTCCCTCCGTCGGAGATCATCGGAGGTTCTACTCCTCCGGTGAAACAATAAGTCTTATTGAACTTTTCTCAGATACATTTCGAGGTACTACCGAGTTTCGAGAGAGCAAAAATGCCGTTCACGTGGAAAGTCTGCACAGTCTATCGGTGACGAACGTTCGCGCTCAACATGTTTACGAAACATTGTAGAAAGAGATTGTTCGAGGGAAAGTTGCTTCCGAATCGTGGCGTCGTCCTTCTCGCGGGTCAGCTCGACGATCGATTGGTCGAAAGGATCGATGCCAGACGGATATATCTGGACGTCGTGTTTTGTTAAAAAAAAAAGAAAGAAACTTCACGGTAGAAAAAGTCGCTTCGAAAACGTGCCGACGTATCGCGTAGGGGACGAACGATCCTCGAGCAGCTGCCGATCCGTCCGGTGCACCGATCCGCCATCGCGGCGCTACATCTATCAAGGAACAAAAGTCTGGATACTCGATATTTGGCACAGATTCTTAACCCTCCGAAGCTATCGTGAAACACCACGCTGAGCGTTTCCCAAAGAAATATACGAGAGAAACCGTATCCGTGATACGATCTCGTGTTTGATCGATACCGATAGTCCGAATAAATGAAAAGTCATCGTTTTATATCAGTCATCGTGTTACACGTTCATCGATTATCTAAAATTTCCGTCATGGTAGCGCCGTCACGGGTCCTCGTGGAGCGACGTTGAATTTGATAACGGCGTGGATTTCTGTGTACGCGTGTGCGAGCATGTGTACATATTCGTCTAAACGATTTCCGAATTGTTCGCGTGTGCATCCCGAATGAGTGTCCGACGCGAAGCACGGGTGCACGTACGATACTCGACGATGCTTAGAGTGGCGCGATGTACGTGCAAAATAATGTTTTGCTTTCTATCTTTTTCCTTTTTCAATCAACGTCCCCTGTCACTCGATTGAATCGTCACGCTCGCGGTGATAATCCCGCGAATAAATCGAGAAAACAAAAAAACAGCATGTTACCGGTCAAAAGTGTGATTCCTTTCCTGAACGCGTCGTCAGTGTATAGATTCCATTTTCTCATTTTTAAATTCTCGTAATAACGTAAAAAAAAAACAGAAAAAGAAAAAGAAAGGAACGTAGAAGAGTATGCACGTATATACGTACATGTATACCCGCGCATATAGTATACATATATGTGCATAGGACGCATACGTTTGTTATTCTATATATATCTACATATACGTACACCCGGAGGATCGTATAGATGTACACTTCCGCTCAGTACTGTGGGATCGCTTACAATCGGCCCGCAGATTCCACGAACATCATGAAACATTCTGTTCGCAACACAGATAGATTTTTCTAACGCGTTCGGAACAATCGAATCCTGCAGCTTTCAGGAAATCGTTCATTTTTTACAATATTTCCGGAAAGGCCCCGCCGCGAGAACGCCGCACACCTTTGCAGGGGCAATTGGTTCTATCGCCTTCGAGTTCGATCGAATGCACGAAGTCCGCGGTGCAGTTGTTGATATTCACAGTGTACGAATGAAACTGAAAAGGTCTCGTGTCTTTTAGCATCTAGCGTTCGTAGCGTCGCAATTTTCTTCTCAAACCGAATGTACTAACTCTCTCGGGGTATGCAAGGCGCGCGAGTGCCCCATCTACATTAACCTGCCCGCGAAGAATCTTTGCTTTCGAGAAGAAAAGGGACCTTCGAGGGTCTCTCCTCCCTCTGTCCAGAAATTGCTACCAGTCAATCTGTCGAGGTTACTCGGTTCGGATATCATCCAGCGGTCTACCATCGAGGCGACGCCGTACTCCGGGGCTTGCCTTCTCGAGAACAAAGCTTCGCGGGCATCGACGCCTCGCCGCGATCGAAAACAGTAGTTTGTACATATACATAATAACTTAATTCCCTCGCGAAACAAGTGGAACGATTGATCCCATATTCTTCAGCGGCAGCGTATATACGTATATGTCGTGGGTATGTATGTGTATCTCAGTAGAGTACATCGTACGCGATCTTATCACCTACGGATATTATTAATATTAATATTATTATCGTTACGATAGCAAGTCCATTAAGTTCTAGAAAAATGAAAATTCTGCCTCGTAGCACACGAGGAGCAAAAACGCCCGCTTCGCTGTCTCGATTCGCGAAGGGAGGTAGAGGTGGAGGACGAGGAGGTTGGTTTGCTGGGGATCGGAGGGCCGAAGGTCGTGAGACAATTAAAACGGGGACCGGGACCGGGACCGGGACCGGGACCGGGGCTGGGGCGGGAGCGGTGTCGAATAGGGCGGCAAAACGAACCTAGCGAGAGGTTTCGGTTTCGCGGGGAACGCGGGAAACGCGCCGGGTCCTCGGGACTGCTTCTCGCGAGAAGAGCCAAGACCTCGAAAACGAAGGTAGAGGGAAATATCGTGTCGATAGTATGTACAAAGAGCGGGGCGAGTGACTGGGAATTGGAGGACGTGTGTGTTAGGATGTTGTGGGCGGGGAAACGTTTCGACAACTCGGTGGCGAGGATCCTTTCGTCGAGGTTCGACTTGGTCCCACCTTCGTTTCGAGTCGCCGTTAAATAACCGCTGTTTTAGAGTCGGTCGATCCGCGTCGCGTCGCGTCGCGTCGCGTCGCGGCGCAATCTCACCGAGGTTTCGCGCGAACAATCGCCAGAGCTGCGAACGACGACGGGTCTGTACGGGGTCCGCGCGGATCGAGTCGGTCGAAACAAAGGCGGACAACGGGCAGTAGGAACATACGAAAACACGCCGGCCAGACTCGTTTTGACGTGTTCGATCGGCTCGGCGCTAATCGGCGCTGATCGTCGCGGTCCGCGGACGCGAGGAGGCCTTGCCCGAGCGTCTTTTACGGTGGTGACGACCAGGGGGGTCGACGGAAAAATTGTTTCTCCGTGGTCTGTTCGACCGTTCGGGGGCACTGGTCGCTGCTGGTCGCCGCTGGACGCCTCGCGAGAAGAACCGTTCTTTCTCGAGCGTAGACGAACTTGCCACTTGCGGGAGGCGCGTTCAGTTTGCTGATCGGGACACGCCTCTCGATCACGAGTGTTTCACCACAATCACACCCGGTCTCTGCTGGGTCTGCTGCTGTTGCCTGTGGAACTGGAGGAACTCGGCCTGCAGCAGCCGCTGCTTCGCCGACGTCGAGGAGGCCGACGGCGAGGACGCCGACGTCTTGCCGGACGGGTTGTTCGCCGTCTGTTTGTTGGTCAACGCCAGCGGCACGTCTTGAACGCCGGCCGGCTCGTCGCTGAACAGGTGGTCGCCCTCCAGGTGACGTATCGCTTCTACGATCGTCTCCAGGTTCTGCCGCGACGTGTTCGCCAGATACAGCCTCGCCTGCGGCGTTCCGTCGTCCAGGGAGTTCGACGGCGAGGGCAGCCTGAAATCATGCGATTCGTTCCGCGCGTTAGTTTCTCCGGGACAAGGGACAAAAGGCAAGGGCAGAGGAGGACAAAACCTCTCGCCACGACACCGCTCTCTCGCTCGCTGGGTCTCCGGTGGTCCACCAGCGCGATCGAGCGCCCGCGCGCGCGCACGTACCTCTCTACTTCGACCTTGGGTTCCGCTTTGATCGCCGCCTCCAGAACGCTGGGTAACCGCTGGGGCTCCGTGGCGGGAGAAAACGGCCTGCTAGGGCTCGCGGTGATGTACTGCGGCGACGAGCCTTTGAAATCCCCCGAATACGTGACGCGACTCGCGGAGGAGAACGAGTCGGCGGTGGTCTGCTCCTCGATCGCGGCGAACCCTTGGCTCTGGGTGAACGCGACGATCTTCGGGCTACCGGGCTCCACGTCCTCTTCCTTGATGTCCTCGGGCACCATGTCGGCGGGCTGCGGCGACAGGGGCGGCGAACTCGGGTCCGGACTAGACGTCTCTACGGTCTGCGTCGACCCGACCGGCGGCAGGGACACCACGGACACCACCTGTAGAGCCGCGACGGCTTCCTCTGTCTCCTGGGCGATCACGTTGTCCGTGTGCTCGATCACCTGCGCGCGACAAACGGCACGGAATTATCATTAACCGCGATACGGATTAAAGAGGTTCGCCGTACGTTACACGTATCTCTAAAACAGAAGAGGGCAAGCACAAAAATGTACCTCGTGCGGCTGATAAGTGATCAGCTGACTGTCCCGGAATCTGTCCGGGTACAGTTGACTTTCTATGGCTCGCATCTGCTTCTCTAGGTGCAGCCTCGTGTGGCGCTCCCTTTCCAACTGTCGTCTCAGCTCCACCACCTCGCTGCTGTTCACCACGGAATGTCCCTCTGTGGTCACCGTTATTACCGACAACGGCTCCGGAGACATGCTGCCCAATCCTTCGTCGCCGCTCTCGCTGACGTGCATCGGCAAACTGACGACGACACCACCTGAAATCGGGAACTCGGTTATATGTACATGTATATATATCGTTATATTATGTATACGGCTGTCACGGTTAAACTACATACTATTTCGAGTCCGAAAAATTAGTAAATATTCTCTTCGGACGTTCTAAAGTGGAGGTGAGCAGCGTTTTTCTTAAAAATATCACTTTTACGTGATAAAAAAAATTCGGAAAGTTCACGCTTCGTGACTTGTTCGATACTTCGAACGCGGCTCGAGTTCGTCCCGACCTTCTGTCAAAGCCTCGTGCTGTAGACTCTCTCGTGGACTCTCTCTCTCTCTCTCTCTCTCTCTCTCTCTCTCTCGCACCGTCACCTCTTATTGGCCAGTGTTTTTCGTTAATAACTCGTAAACAAAGCTAAGAAACTAAGAATTAAGTACGAAAATTCTTGGATGACTTATCTTAATTTTAGGAATTTATATTACCGCCATCTTCGAAATTTTTGTTAAAATCTAAAATTTCCAAGCTATCATGCCGGCGTCAAACAAAAGAATCATATCTAAGATCTGCGGACGGCATAGTATTAAGTGCCGGTCACCGGTGACCCCCGTGGCATTCAACGTGTTAAGGGTTCAAACAAGAGAATCGTAACACTCATCGTACTGCGGAAATAACAGTGACAGCGTGTAACATGATATAGAACTATAAAATTTACACTGTTTTATGGAATTACAGGAAATTTATTTAAAATTTATTTATATAACTTGTAAGGTATATGCTGCTAATTTTTTTTCCCGGAATTCGGTAATGTTAATTTTCTAAGCGGCGCGCGTGGCCTGACGGGGACTTCCTTAACCGTTTGCGTGCCACGAGCCACTTTTGCGCTCTTCAGATTTTGTGTCGAGAAAAGCCAGGCCATTTGGCCGAAACGGACGACTTACGGCCCACCCGAAATTTGACGAAACGTGCTCGGTCTTTCAGACGCATGTATACGTCGCGCGTCGCATCGCTGTCGGTAATCCAATTTGCGTTTTGTTGTTACCTATTCTAAATTAATAGTACATATATTTTCATTCGTAACGTTTTATTTTATGTTTTACGGCTTTTTTCGTCACATAATCGAAGGAGCGCTATTACGCTCTTCGGCTTTTTTCGACACATAATCGAAGGAGCGCTATTGCATTCTTCGGCGCTTTTCGATCCTGTTTGTTCAGAACCATCTGGTACGCAAACGGTTAAAAAATCCGCGTGGCGCTCGACGTGTTAAAACCTAAAAATTTCCAAGCTATTATGCCGGCGTCAAACAAACGAATCATATCTAAGATCTGCGGACGGCAGCATAGTGTTAATTTACAAGCCGAAGGAGAATTTTGAAAGCCCTCGCCTCGCGGTTAAACGGCCAGAAAATTGAAGGACGAGTCGCGAGAGAGAACGCGAACCGGCGTGTCTCCGATTCTATCGATCGAACTTTTTTTCCCTCTCGCGGAGAACGGAAACGAACGGAATATCCGGCGGGCAGGATGCTCGGTCCCCAAGAATGTAATTACTCCCGCGAAAATGACGAACGATTCTTCGATATTAATCTTCGCGCGCCGCTTACGGTCGGCAAATTAAAAAATTCCTCGATGACTCGGCTAGGCGAGCTGCTCGCGCCGATCGTCGCACCAGAATTTTCGTTTCGTCGCGTGTCGCTTCGTCGAATGATAATAATCCCGGCTAGAAAAAAGATGTTAAATTCGTCGAACCACGAGGAACGCGCGATCACGGAAATGATTTAACCTTTTAGGTACGGCTGAATTCTGCGCGAGGCTATTTCGCTGGACGGCAGAGTCTGATATGTATTGTACAGAGTACAGATATTGTTAAGATATAGTTATATTGTTAACAGTTATATTGTTAACAGTTATATTGTTAACAGTTATATTCTTAACAGTTATATTGTTAACAGTTATATTGTTAAAAGTTATATTGTTAACAGTTATATTGTTAACAGTTATATTGTTAACAGTTATATTCTTAAAAGTTATATTCTTAACAGTTATATTGTTAACAGTTATATTGTTAACAGTTATATTGTTAACAGTTATATTGTTAACAGTTATATTGTTAAAAGTTATATTCTTAACAGTTATATTGTTAACAGTTATATTGTTAAGATAAGTCTGTATATTGTAAATCGATGTGAAGACAAAAGAAGTGTGAAACAATGCATATGAAGACGATTATTTGATTCAAACGATGACCGAGTGAGCTACTAGAGCAAGCCACTATAGTGGCGCGTCGTTCAGAGAGATGACATTCGCGGAAGCCGCTATAGTGGCGCGTCGTGCCTAAAAGGTTAAACGATAATAATCCCGACTAGAAAAAAAAGAATGTTAAATTCGTCGAACCACGAGGAACGCGCGATCACGGAAATGATTTAAAACGCGGAACACTCACCTTGATTATCCGGCTTGCGTTTCTTTATCGGAACATCTCCACCCTCGTGCTGATTCACCAATCGTTTCAATTGGCAATTCTGCGACAGCAGTTGAGTCTTCTCCTGCTCCAACTGGTATATGTATTCCGCGGTCTGCTGGAGTATCGCAGCCTGAAACGATAAAGCACGGCGCCGTTGAACGATCTTCGTCGTCTAAAGTGCAATCGGCGTTCCGCGATTCGGCGGTGAACGCGTGGCACAATGATGAACAAGTTGCGCTAATAAAATGTTTCGTTTCGTTCGTTCGTTCATCGAACAGGGTATGAATATGTGCATTTCATTGATATTCATAAGCCGCCTTCGAAGATTAATTCCGCGCATGCAGCTCGCTTCCTTAATTACATTGCGAGGCATCGCGATTCGATGTAAATCGCGAAGATGATTCAATCAATTTTCATTTTATTCGATTTTCGTGCCGCAAAAAGCCAGGCGGACGAAACGAATTCTTGATTAATAATCCTCGCCCCGTCGCGTCTTGAAATTCGAGGGAGAATTCGTGTCGCGTTCGAAGGGAAACGGCGGAAGGGGAGCAATGGCGGCGGCGCGTGGGTGCGTTACTCGCGAGAGCCCCGTCGGAGGCTTCCCTCCCGAAACTCGAAGACGCTTCCTGTTTACACGCCGCGCGACCCTGAAGGGTTTTACTTCGGTCTGGCCCGAGTCGATAACATCCGGAGAGAGAGAGAGAGAGAGAGAGAGAGACAGAGAGAAAGAGAGAGAGAGAGCCGACTATCGCGTGTCCCGTGTCCCGTATCTCGTGTCTCGTTTCTCGGGTCTCGCGTCGCGCGTAGAACGTACTACGGCGTAGTAAAACGGGAACCGGTGGAGGAACCGGTGAAAACAAAAGGGCCAATTGATACCGAGTCGAAGGTAACGGGCTCCGGCCGTACGTTTTGCACCTGCCGACAGGTGGCCGACGAACAGATGCCTCTACCGATGATCGAGCTTCAGCCTCCCCAGTGTCTTCGCCGCTTCCTGCGAACGCGGTGGGAAATGACCACGATGGAAATAAACTCGTCGGCCTTACGGACGCCTATTCCGAATATTCCCGCGTATTTCGGGCCCAGAGAATTTTCGGGAGCCCGAAATTCTAGCAGCAGATCGAGAGTGTTTGCATTGGGTTGGCAACTAAGTAATCGCCGATTTGTTCAATGAAATAAAAAATTTTCTTTTTACTTGGAACGAAGTTTAATCTGTAATGTATTTTCCATTTTGTTCGATGACCTTTCGCCATCTCTCTGACAACTTGAAAATTCCACGCTCGTAGAAAGTCTGATCCTTTTCGGCCGAAAACTGAGTTAAGTGAGATTTTACAGCGTCATCATCGTTAAAAGTTTTACCGCGAAGGGAGTTGTCCAGGGATCAAAATAAGTGGTAATCCGATGACGCGAGATCAGGGCTGTATGGTGGGTGTAACATCAATTCCCAACCAATATCCATCAATTTTTGCCGAGTGGACAAAGACGTGTGCGGCCTAGCATTGTCCTGCTGGAAAATGACACCTTTACGATCGACCAATTCTGGTCGCTTTTCCTTGACCGCTGCATTCAATTTGTCCAGTTGCTAACATTCACGGATAATAAAAAATAACATAATAATAATAATAATAATTTTATAATATAACATTTACGGATATCATAAAAATGGGAGTGAGAGACATCTATAACTGAAATCGGCAATTACTTAGTTGCCAACCCAATATATTATCAAAACCTCCTCGTTGAGACTGAGGCTAATCCTTTTATTGGTTTCAATATTAACACTATGCCGTCCGGTGGCACCACGCTGGTGCCATGCAAAAACTATCTGTTGTATGCCGGTGGTACCACTTTGGTGCCATTTTAGAAAACTGAAATAACATTTGAACTATATTTCTTGGGTGATAAAAAAGTCAGCAAGCCAACTATAGCATTGCGGTCGCTTTTCCTTGACCGCTGCATTCAATTTGTCCAGTTGCTAACATTCACGGATAATAAAAAATAACATAATAATAATAATAATAATTTTATAATACAACATTTACGGATATCATAAAAATGGGAGTGAGAGACATCTATAACTGAAATCGGCAATTACTTAGTTGCCAACCCAATATATTATCAAAACCTCCTCGTTGAGACTGAGGCTAATCCTTTTATTGGTTTCAATATTAACACTATGCCGTCCGGTGGCACCACGCTGGTGCCATGCAAAAACTATCTGTTGTATGCCGGTGGTACCACTTTGGTGCCATTTTAGAAAACTGAAATAACATTTGAACTATATTTCTTGGGTGATAAAAAAGTCAGCAAGCCAACTATAGCATTGCGGTCGCTTTTCCTTGACCGCTGCATTCAATTTGTCCAGTTGCTAACGTTCACGGATAATAAAAAATAACATAATAATAATAATAATAATTTTATAATACAACATTTACGGATATCATAAAAATGGGAGTGAGAGACATCTATAATTGAAATCGGCAATTACTTAGTTGTCAACCCAATAGTTACGTTTACATTTGGCCCGACCGCGTCACGGCTCTCGTTTCTGGCCCGATTATCTGGCCACGTGTCTCAGACGTGTTTGTAGAGCAAAGGGTTAAGTCGCGAGGACACAAAACTGCGATTAAAAATATTTACGACCGCCTTCGTATATATTTTGTAATTTCAGAACAGGAAGCGGACACGGTTTTCTCGCGCATATTTCCCACGGATTAACGAAAACACGGGAAAAGTACAATACTTAATTAATTGTAAGTCACGATGTCGAAGAACAATACGATGATTCGTGAATATGGACTCGATACCGCCGATATATAAATTCGCGCGGATTCAACGATCTCGAAGTTCTGTCCTTATAATTCGTCGGATATCGGCCGGAATCGTTGCCGGTCGCGCGTTCCATACTTTTAATCGAAACCGTATAACAATCGAGTTCCGCGTTCTTTATGTACCGTTGAATACCGGCCGACAAATCGTTTCGCGAAAATGGACACCGAAACGAACCACGAGAAGGTCCATCGAAAGGACAACGAGAACGAAGACGTCCCGTACGAGGTCGAGGAAGTTGTGGAAAGACCAGGACACGGCACCGATCTGAACTACAAACATTCGGTGATGTGGCCGAACGCTGTGTTCCACGTTCTGATCCAGATAGGATGGTTGATCAGCATCCGCACCGCGTTCGTCCATGCCAAATGGGCAACCATAATGTGGGGTGAGTGCCGCCGCCCTGTGCGCAGCGGTAGCGCCCTCGAGAACGGATTCGATCATTTGAAAATTCAATTTTCCAGCGATTTTTTGGCTCACTTTCCAAATCATAGGAGTAGGATTAGGCGCGCATCGGTATTTCACCCACAAGTCTTACAAAGCGACGCCTCTTATGAGACTGATCCTCGTTTTGGGCCAGACTGCGACCGGTCAGGTAAACGCGCGCAGTTCGAATGCCATTAACCCTTTCGGTACGAGCGCCGGATATATCCGGCATCCATCTGGTCAACTGTGTGGCCGAGCGCCGGACACACAGGGTGTCCCAAAATGATGGTATTTCCGGGGAATGAGGGATTCCCGAGATCATTTGAAGCAACTTTTTCCTTAGCGAAAATATTCTACGAGGCTTCGTTCACGAGCTATCGACGAAAAACAGTGACCAATGAGAGGCGAGCTCGATCGGCGCGAGGCGGCCGAGCCGACGAGCGCGCGAAGCCCAGATCCGCTGATTGGCTCGGCTGCCTTGCGCCAACCGAGCTCGTCTTTGATTGGTCAGTGTTTTTCGTTAATAACTCGTGAACGAAGCATCGTAGAACATTTTCGCTGAGGAAAAAGTTGCTACAAATGATCTCGGGAACCCCTCATTCCCCGGAAATACCATAATTTTGGGACACCCTGTACACCGGCATCCATCCGATGACCGGTATGGACAAGTGCCGCATATATCTGGCATTCGTGCGAGCCATATTTCTGACATATTAGAAATTATTCTAATAAAGTCTTCTCTTACAAGGATTCCAATAAAAAATTGGAGGTTAAATTTTTGTTCGAAACTTGTTCATAAATTTTAACCCTTTGCACTCGAAACCATTTTAATTGTAAGTTTAAATTAATTTTTCTGACTCACGGTATTTCCATTTTATATGACAAAGTGCATTTTATGCGTATGAAATTTATAGTCTTGCGACTCGTACAACAGTTAGACTTTCAACAATTTTCTTACGTCTAGACTTTTATAATATAAAAATTATCTTCGAACGTGATATAACAATTTTAATGGTGCCTCAGAGTCACCACTCGAGTGCAAAGGGTTAACATATTATAGGCGCCCTGTACAGAATGTTTACAGGAAACAAAAGATTGAGAAACGGATTAAGCACAGTTACTACTTAACGCTCGAGAAAATCTTCGTACAAAAGTGGACCGACCCTGTCAGTCCATGTGCGCATTTTCGGCGCGGCACCCCGTACAGTGGGGGTGTCACGGCTGACAGCGCGCTCGTACCGAAAGGGTTAAAGAGCGCCGCGAAAACGTTTCCCCAGAATTCAAGGCGATCGAAAGGTATCGTGTACTCATTTTAGAACAGCGCGTTCACGTGGGCGAAAGACCACACCCTGCACCACAAGTACAGCGACACGGACCTGGACCCCCATAACTCGAACAGAGGATTCTTCTTCGCTCACATGGGCTGGATGATGATGAAGAAACACCCCCTGCTGCGGAAGAAGGAACGCGAGATGGACTGGTCCGAGATGAAGAAGGACAAGCTCTTAATGTTCCAGCACAAGTGAATACCAATTTATACGTGCACGAATTTATGAGCGAATTTATCGCGGGGGAAAAAATTCGAACCGATCCTCCCGCGAACACGTTTTACACTCGAAAGAAACATTTCGACGCGTTCCGTTCTTTTTTCTTTTCCTTTTTTCAGGTACTTCCTGCCTGCTTACTTCGTGATCGGGATGGCATTGCCCATCTGGGTGCCGATGTACTTTTGGGATGAAACGTTCTGGAACTCTTTCTTCGTGGCTTACATACTCCCCTACGTCACTCTCTTGCACGCGACGTGGAGCATCAATTCGTTCGCGCATTGGGAGGGTAGCAAGCCCTACGACAAGTAAATAAAGTAGTTCGATGCTAGTTGCTAGGCTCTACGTTTCGGAATGGTTGCTATCGAATCACCGTCAATGGTCGTTTCGTTGACAATACCGATTAACCGGCGCGATGAAATCACCGACGATGTTTTCGTTCTCGTCGACGCTCCTTTCACCGCGACATTGACTTTCAGTTTACCTGCCGTTTCTGATCATTCCGTACGATTTTCAGGCAAACATAGATGCGAAACGAGCGTAGACGTAAACATTGTCGGCGCTTTTCACCGCCGACGGTTAACCTTTTAGGCACGACGCGTCACTATAGTGGCTTCCGGGGATGTCATCTCTCAGAACGACACGCCACTATAGTGGCTTTCGCGGATGTCATCTCTCTGGACGACGCGCCACTATAGTGGCTTGCTCTAGTAGCTCACTCGCTCATGGTTTGAACCAAGTAATCGTTTTCATATGCATTGTTTCACACATCTTTTGTCTTCACATCGATTTACAACAGTCTACAGGGTGTCCCAAAAATGTCTCGCAATCCGGAAATGGCGGGTTCCTCGGATCGTTTGAAGCAACTTCTTCCTTTACAAAAATGTTCTCCGAGGCACCGTTAACGAGTTATTAACGGAAAACAGTGACCAATAAGAATCGAGTACGGCTGACGCGAGGCGGCCCAGCCAACCAGCGCGCGAAGCCCAGTTCCGCTCATTGGCTCGATCGCCTCGCGCCAGCCGAGCTCGCCTCTCATTGGTCACTGTTTTTCGTTGATAACTCGTTGACGGTGCCTCGGAGAACATTTTTGTAAAGGAAAAAGTTGCTTCGAATGACCCGAGGAACCCGCCACTTTCGGATTGCGAGACATTTTTGGGACACTCTGTATATACAGTATCAGACCCTGCCGTCCAGAGAAATAGCCTCGCGCAGAATTCAGCCGTACCTAAAAGGTTAATTGACACCGTCGGCGAGATCGTTGTCGGTGAAACGGTGCCGCGATCGAGGCATCGTGTCGGTGAAACCGATCGAAGGCGATTCGATGCAAAGATTAGTCCGGGAAGAGATCCGGCGAGGAAAACCGGGCTACGAAACCGGCCCACATTCTCCGTTCGATTGTTTCAGGAGGGTTCAAGCGGCGGAATCGACGGTGGCTAATTTGCTCACGCTCGGCGACGGATTTCACAATTATCATCACGCCTTCCCGTGGGACTACCGAATGACCGACACACCGTACAGCATCTCCGCGAAAATCCTCGAATTGTTCGCGTACCTGGGCCTCGCCTACGATCTCAAAATCGCGACACCGAAGACCGTCGATGGCCATCAGAAGAGACACGGGGACGGGTCATTCGTGGACGTAGTCAACACGTTCAACGCGAAAACGAAGGACGAGTCGCGCATCAAGTGACAAACGAGACTTTGATCCGAGCTGGACGCGACGTTGTCGAGAACTCGATGATCGACCGACATCCTTTTGTTCATCAATCTTGTATTCGCAGCGGGAAATTGTAATCGGGGGAGGGTGGCAATAAAGTAGACCCATGCCTTTTGACTCGTACAATTACGAAGACTCGCTTAAAAATACAAATCTTTGTACATAGTATGTTTGTAAGTGAAGCGATCGGAGGTGGTCGTACTTCGTGTCCGGCAATTATTCGATTGTTCATTCTGTAAACCATCGCGCAACATATCGATCTCAAAATTGTATAAATAAAACAATTTATTATGTTATCAGCACATGTGGCCTTCGAATTGCCTTCGAATAGTGGCAAGTGGCCTTTGAATTGCCTTCGGATAGTGGCATGTGGCCTTCGAATTGCCTTCGAATAGTGGCAAGTGGCCTTTGAATTGCCTTCGGATAGTGGCATGTGGCCTTCGAATTGCCTTCGAATAGTGGCAAGTGGCCTTTGAATTGCCTTCGAATAGTGGCATATGGCCTTTGAATTGCCTTCGAATAGTGGCATGTGGCCTTCGAATTGCCTTCGAATAGTGGCAAAAATAAAAAATAATAAAAAAAGTTAAGTTATCGTTTTTATTCTAGCATTGTTATATCTAGCATTAGCGAGTAATCCTTAACACGTTAAGATCGGAGCCAATATTGTTGAGCTTTCCGTCGAGGCGGCAAGCCAGCATTATTTTTTAACCTTGGTACTGTCGCATGCCGGTCTCATGCGCCGATGCCGTTCAAACAATAGGTTCGCTGTCAATTCCTTAGAACTAACGCCACCCAGACGAAAAGTACACTGTCAGCCCCAGGAGCTTTAACTAATCTTCAGCCCCGCGCTTAATGAGTTAAAAGTCTAAAAGAGCGAAAGTCTTAAGAGTCTAAAACTATCGTTGAAGCATATTATACAATCATGTCTTTTACCAACACATTTATAAGCGATAATATTTCCTTTATGATCATTATTCCTTTCTTCTGCCCTAACGTGTTACCGTCTTTTCGTATCAAAGAGTTTCTCCCGCGAATAAACGAATAAATATATCAAGCATTCGGCGTAAACGTAACTTATGACTAGACTCTGGATTTTTATGCATTTACACGTCAAATACAGCGTGGTCAAAACTTTAGAAGAATTTAAGGAAACCATCGTATTCTCTACAATTATATCAAATTAATGAAAGAAGAAACGAATCTTTGTTCGATATCTACTTGTTGCAATTAGCGAGGCTAGTTTCCGTTTTGCAGAAAGATCCGCAGTCTACTTACGACATTCTTTTCGACCGTGTAACGATACTCGATGCGAACAGTTGCCTTTTCATCGAGCGCTCGCCGTCCGCGTCGTCGCGACGTCGAGGGGTTAACGGTCTCGCCCCAACGGTGATACCCGTGCAACTTACACTCGAGAGTAGAATGCACCGGTAAACGCTCTTTCCACGGCTGTTGGTCTTGGCTAAATACCCCTTTTATTCTCGAGAGTCTAATTCGTAGGAGCTCGTTGGGACACGAGCGTGTATCATCCGCACCGTTCGTTGTCGATAGAATTTTGCGGCTGTTCTACCGCTATATTCGGACAACGCTCGAAACCTCGTTCGAGATTTCGCGTTGTACGAGGTGTAGCGATTTTTCGGTATTATATTTATATAATATTATTATATTTATATTATATAATATTACATATTATATTATTATATTTATATTATATAATATTATATATTATATTATTATATTTATATTATATAATATTATATATTATATTATTATATTATTATATTACTATATTTATTATATTTATATAATATATTAATATATATATATATATATTTATACAGGGTATCCCAAAAAAGTCTCGCAATCCGAAAGTAGAGGATTCCCGAAGTCATTTGAAGCAACTTTTTCCTTAGCGAAAATGCAATCCGCGGCTTTGTTTACGAGTTATTAACGAAAAACAGTGGCCAATCAGAGGCCAGATCATTTGGCGCGAGACGGCGGCCGGGCCAATGAGCGTAACTGGGCTCCGTGCACTCGTTGGCTGGGCCGCCGCGCGCCAGCCGAGCTCGCCTCTTATTGGTCACTGCTTTTCGTTAATAACTCGTAGACGAAGCCTCAGAGAAAATTTTCGCAAAGGAAAAAGTTGCTTCAAATGACCTGAGGAACCTCCCATTTCCGGACTGCGAGACATTTTCGGGACACCCTGTACATCGGTATTATTTTCGGTTATATATTTTCGAATTTTCGGCAATCAAATAAAATAAATTGCTGTTGCAACGCAGGAACAACGGAAAGGTTAACAAGACTGCAAGAAATATCTGTAAAAATACGATTTGAAAAATTGCCGAACAAAGCTCGGGATTGTTACAAACGTCGTCGATAACAGAGTTGCGAAAATGATGCTATCGTCGCTTCATCGTCTTCGACGCACTCGTCTTCGAATGTTTCCGCTAGGACGCGACAAAGGTGACTCGATCGGATTAACAACAACGTAACGACTAAATTTTTATTTCCGAGATGGCTCGCTTCCGCGAAACATCGCTCCCGATAATCCGCCCGGAGCGTACACGAGAAAGATCGAACCGAACGAGTTGCACGAAGCATCGCGTGCAGCGCCCGAGAATTCTTTGTGGAAACGAACAGAAGAATCCTCCCCGGTAGCTCGAGAAAACGGAGGAAACTCTGCGGCGACGGAACGAGAAAATACGATGGACAGGGAATCGAAGATTCCCGGTTTTCCACGCCGAGGACACAGCACCGCGACGGTTCGAGAGACTGCAGAGAAGATGACGGTAAGAAAAACTTGTCAAACCTAACAAGATAGATTGAAATGGTGGGAAAAGAAATTGCAGGAAACGGACGAGGGAAGTACCAAGAAAAAAAAGAGAGGAAGACAGCAAGATGGAGCAGAGAGCGTCTCCGTCGGAATTGAATCAAGGTAGGCAGGAAGAGAAATATTACGCGAGGAATGGAAAACGATGTCTCAAGAAAAGAGAGAAAAATGTGGAGAGAGAGCGAGAGCGAGAGAGAGAGAGAGAAGGAGAGGAGAAATAATCTTCGAACCGCGGAGAAGCGGAAGGAAAATTTCTTGCGGCGAAACAGCGACGGGGCTGGAAAACGGTCAAACATGAAATTTATGGGTTGCGTGTTTCCCTTGGAAGTACATGCTGCGGTATCTTAAAAGTTGCACGCCTCGCCTCGCGATTCGAGGAGAGGAGCGCGTGCACGGAGCACAAGAGAGACGAAATAAATAAAAATCTTGAAAGAGAAACTTCAAGAAGGTAAGTCCGAAGGCGCGACACGGGCGCCAGATGAAACAACAAAAGAGCCGTCTCGAAGAGGGACGAGTAAATCGCGAAGACTTGAGAAAAATTCTCCGGGAACGAATTCAAGGAGGTCGAAAAGGTGTCGCGGGAGGGAGGCGAGGGCGAGAGAAGAGGACGAAGAGGACGAGGAGGTCGAAGAGGCAGGGGGAGCGGCGTTGAAAGAGAAGGAAATCAAAGGTGTGCGGCGACAGGAATAAGACGTTGTAAGAGAATAAGGAAACCAGAGAGGCAGAGGTGTCTCGAACGCGAGAAAGACCGAAGGGGGAGGAAAAGGGTGTCCGGACAATAATATCATCGGTCCTTTCCGGATGCGAGGCCGCCACGCCGGTTCTTATTATTCCGTTTGCGTGCACGCGAGGCCGGTCTTAGAGCAAAATCGCGAACACTTTGCATCTGCCCTCGACACAAAAGGCTAAACGGCGACGCTACTCTCTGCTTTCTTCGCGCGGTGTATACGAACACGGGCGCGATCGGACCGCCGTAGGTAAACAAGACGATCGCGTTTCCTTCGGACAATCAGCGGCTGAAAACAGTCCCTTAATTTACGCGGCACTTTTTTAAGCGAGTCTCCTTTTCACTTGACAAACTCTAACGTTGTTTACGTGGTATGTTTTATACGCGATACTGAATTCATGCGAATTTATGAATCAGAGCGTCGTCGTGGACATTGACCGAAACATCGGGCGAGCCTTGAAATTTCGACAAAGGTCGATGATGAATCGTTGCAGCGAGTATCAGCAATTTATGAGAACTTGGTTGAAAGAATATCGAGGAGAAATCGTCCGAAAAGATTTACATTGACAACGAGAATGAAATCGAACTTACAAATGCTTCAAGCGACGAAGAAGAGTTCGTGCCGATTGACGAGAAAAGGTTGTGGTTTTTAATTATCAGCAGCGATACCGAATCAAATTGATTTTTGTTCTCTGAAATGGCATGATTATATTTTTGTTAAGCTATGAGAAATAAATGTGTACCTCTGAAACTTATAACGTGTAAATATATATTATATGAACAAAATGAGAAATATACGAAGGAAATACTACAATGCATTCATCGCGTAAAAAGGAACTATAATCGGAATGCATAATCGACAAGTAACGGAGAACCGAAACTGATGTATGCGCGTACCTCGGGTTAGTATTGGGTCTACCGGAAAGTTAAATAAATTGAAACAAAGATGACTCATGTCATTATTAAGTGAGACGCGATCGTGAAAACATGGCTACCGATGATAATGCCAGACCACATGCTGCTTTGGCGACTCGTCAGAAAATCGCAGAGCTAGGCTGGCAAATTCTGTCGCATCCACCATACTCCCCAGACCTAGCACCCTCCGATTATCACTTGTTTCTCTCTTTGCAAAACTTTTTACAGAAAAAAAATTCAAAACTGAAGCTGATGTCGACCAAGCACTAGTCGAGTTCTTCGCCTCTAAAAATGAATCATTTTTTAAAAATGCCATTTACAAGTTGCCATCACGCTGGCAAGAAGTCATAAGTAACGGTGGAAAGTATATTCTACAATAAATATTATTAAATGTATGAAAATTTTGTGTTATATTTCAATTCAAAAACGGACAGAACTTTCCGGTAGACCTAATATTTTGAGAACAGGGTTTTCATAAGTTAACCCTTTGCACTCGAGCGGTGACTCTGAGGCACCACCGAAATTTGTTATATATCACGTTCTAAGATAATTTTCACATTAACAAAGTTTAGATTTTTAAAAATTGTTAAAAGTATAACCGTTGTGTAAGTCGCAAGACTCGATTTCGCGCGCGTAAAATGCACTTTTTCGTATAAAATGAAAATATTAGGTAAGAAGTCATAAGTAACGATGTAAAGTATATT